ACAGTTACTCGTACCATTGTTAGGATTACTTGGTTACTTGAGACACTAAAACTTCTATTTCTTGACAGAGAGCAAAATCATCTGAGAGAGTGAGAGAGTCTGGAAGTGAGAAAAGGAAGTACAGAGGGATGGAAAGGAAGAGGAGGAGGGCAGATAAAAGAAAGGAAGGAGGGTGGGAGGGAGAGAGAACAGAAGAGAGGAGAGGGAGAGGGAGAGAGGAGCTTGGAGGAGAGTAAGGGATGGGGAATGAGGAGAGAAGGAGGAAAAGGGAGATGGAGAGAGGGAGGGAGGGAGGGAGGGAGGAGGGAGGGAGGGAGGGAGGGAGGGAGGGGAGGGAGGGAGGGAGGGAGGGAGGGAGGGAGGGAGGGAGGGAGGGGAGGGAGGGAGGGAAGAGGGGGGAGAGAGGGAGTGAGAGGGGGGAAGAGGAGGAGGGGGGGAGAGAGGGAGCAGGGGGGGAGAGAGGGAGCGAGAGGGGGGGAGAGAGGGAGGAAGGGGAGAGAGGGAAGTGAGAGGGGGGGGGGGGAGAGAGGGAGTGAGAGGGGGAGAGAGAGGGAGCGAGAGGGGGGGAGAGAGGGAGGCGAGAAGAGAGAGAGAGGGAGAGAGGGAGAGGAGAGGAGAGGGAGAGAGGGAGAGGAGGAGAGAGGGGAGAGACGAGAGAGAGAGAGAGAGAGAGAGAGAGAGAGAGAGAGAGAGAGAGAGAGAGAGAGAGAGAGAGAGAGAGAGAGGAGAGGAGAGAGAGAGAGAGAGAGAGAGAGAGAGAGGAGAGAGAGAGAGAGAGAGAGAGAGAGAGAGAGAGAAGAGAAGAGAGAGAGAGAGAGAGAGAGAGAGAGAGAGAGAGAGAGAGAGAGAGAGAGAGAGAGAGAGAGAGAGAGAGAGAGAGAGAGAGAGAGGAGAGAGAGAGAGAGAGAGAGAGAGAGAGAGAGAGAGAGAGAGAGAGAGAGAGAGAGAGAGAGAGAGAGAGAGAGAGAGAGAGAGAGAGAGAGAGAGAGGGAGGGAGAGTGTGAGTGTGTGAGTGTGAGTGTGTGTGCAAGCGTATGCGTGTCCGTGTGTGAAAGTGTGAGAGTGAGAGATATTGTGTGTTTCTGAACATGGGTATGAATGCAAAACAGTGGGTATCACAAAATAACGGACATATCTACACGTCTTCTAAATGCTGATCAAATCTGAATGGGAAATATCAATGTTATTCTAAGGGGAACTAATATCCTTTCACATAGAGCTTATGAACACATGATGCAACAATGAAAAATGGCACTTTAATCCTGACTGTACTGACAAGCACACTTATAATTATTTCATTTAATAGCTCTACAGACTAACAATATAGTGTCTAGACTATACAAATACATAGAAATTGCTGAAGTGTAAAAAGACCATAAATGAATCTATGCATAAATCAAAAAAAGGTTCAGTAATAAATTTCACCTACATAATTTTAGCAACGTTTTATCACCTGTGGAGCTATTATAACTTACTCAATG